ATAACAATATTTCTGTAGAATTGAATTTCCTGAAGGGATTTTGCGCGGAAAAGGTGAACTGTTCTTATATTGTAGGCGAGGTAATATATTTGAAGAAAGCGTTCGAGTAGAACATATTATTTTTCTTTTTTATTCCCGATAGCTAGAGTTTTTTTTGGGTGAGCAAATACTCTAATTTAGAAAGTTTTGTAATATACGTATGTATGATTTAGGTGATAAGAAAATCGTGCGTTTTACGTTATGTATGAAATTTAGGCGTTTTATCGCCAAAATAATAGTATTTTAAATAATCATTCTCATATAGTTGTAATATGCACCAACAATATATACGGCATATGTAATTAACGACAACTTTTTTATTTATGTATGAATTGCGATAACAAAAAAAAGTATATTTCTTTTAAAGTCAAATCATTTGATATAACAATAAGAGTCATAAATATATACATTGTAATAGACATAGTATAGATATTCATCTCGTATAGTAAATAGATTAAAATACATATTACTTTACTAAGCCAGTTTTCTTATTAGTGGAAATGTTTTGTCATCATGCATCACGGAAAAATCACTGGAGGGATTTTGATGCAATTTGGTATGGTGATAGCTGGTTATCCGAGTCAAGATATAGGATACTTTTTACCTCGGGAAAATATCTTATTTCTGAGAAAAAATACAAAAACTGCATTGTAAGAGTATACTAATAAGTAAAACCTAAGAATTCGGTTTTTGGTCCTCTGAACGTGTGCGGAGCCGCGGGCAATGTAGTGTAATATATAATACATATCTCGATATTTATGGTCGCACTCCTCCAAAACGGCTTGACCGATTTTAATGTTTTTTTGTATACTTGGTAAGTATGAGAATAGGTCGTAAAGTATTTTTCACCCTTCTACACTCCTCATTTTTTAATCGCAATTTTAGGTTTTAGTAGATTTTTTATAAATAATTTCCGAATAATTTAATCTAGTTTCTGAATTATTTAATTTAGGCTAGTTTTATATAAATACATTAGGATAGGGACGAACCCAAGCCAAGCGAGGGTGAGTCGCTATCCAACATAAAGCAAAAGAGTTTCCTTTGTACGTTGAACGCGGGCTAAGCCGCGGTTTCTGCTAGTTATTTAATAAGATTGAATGATTCAAAACTATAAATAAAAAGAGGCTTAATAAAAGAAAATAAAAAAACTTCGAAATATTTCAAGTAAAGTGATCTTGTTAGTAAAAATGTAAAGCCGTTAAGCCGCTTAGTTATAAAATGTAATATTTTACAAAAAATATACTAACGAAAAACAGCTTATAATCGTAAGAAATTATTGCCGATATTATTTTTCCAGCACTAGTCTATAAATTGTTTTAATTAACACGTTAACAAAACTTTAAAGCCACCAGTAGAGTAGCGTGGGAGGATACGCTCTAATCTTTTCATTAGACGATGCTCTGTGGGACATTAATTACAAATAGAAAAATTTATTAGCTCTTCAATATATTTACTGCTTTAATAAAATTACACTTAAATATTTTTGATTCAATTAATGAAAGACAGCTAACCTAATTTTGTCGATAGTATCCAATGTTTTTGCAGTTTTGCTAAGATAACAAAATATAAAACTAGTACCTTTAAATGTTGATGGAAAATTCGAGCAGTGCTCAAATACAGTATTATATCGGTTTTTTACACAATACAATTATATATTCAGCCTTTTTTAACGTTCCACTGCTGGGCACGGGCCTGCCTTCAATACGCGTGGGATCAGGCCATAGTCCACCATGCTGGCCAAGTGCGGGTTGGCGGACTTCACATGTCGTTCAAACTTTTATTAGAAATGCGGATTTCCTCACAATATTTTCCTTCACCGTAAGGCAAGTGGTAATTGTGTTAGAAATGGTTCGCACATGAAAATATTACAGGTGCGAGATCCGGGATTCGAACTCGCTTCACTCGGTTACCCAAGCGAACGCGATACCACTGGGCTACCACTGCCTATACACACAATACAATTAATATAATTAAATTATATGTGTTTATGTCTGTGCATGTGTTTGTTACTGCTTCACGCTGAAATAGCTGAACGGATTTGGATGAAATTTACTAATATAATTTTATTACAATCTGAAGTAACACATAAGGTACTGTTAGGTAGGTACTTAGTAGGGAGGCAACTGAGTGAAGCAAGTATAAATAACTTGTATAAATATAATTTCGTAATAATATTAGGTACTGTAAATTAAACGAAAAAAAAACAAATGAAATTGCTTGTTCTATAGGTATATGAGTAGTACATGTGTCTAAGCCTATTAGTGTTCGGGCAAAAAACCGTTAAAAATAAATGATTTACGTTTTGAAGGAAGTGAAATTGGAATTGCTCTCCTAAATTAATTTCCATTTGTCCCACTTCCACGTGTGAATTATGAGGGCCATTAAAATTTCAAAAGCTTTTACGCGAAGGATTGAGGAAGGCAATCCAATAATCTTGATACTATTGAAATCTATATAACATATATGTTAGATATATAGAATTAAACTATTTTGCTCTAGGAAAAGCTATACAGTAAATATCTACATATCTATACATATAATAAAATTGTAAGCCGAATCTGTGCAATAAATATTTTTTGGAAAATCTTATTGAAATAGACTATATTAACGATACAGAGGTCGAAACTATAGTTTTTAGAATGTTTGTCTGTCTGTCTGTCTGTGACCGCATCATGGAAAGATCACTGCAGGGATTTGGATGAAATTTGGTTTGGTGATAGTTGGTTATCCAGGTCAACATAAAGGATACTTACACAGACAGACGGACAAAATTTTAAAAAAGTATAGATTCGGCCTCTGTATCGATAATAATGTCTTTTTCAATAAGATTTTACAAAAAATATTAAATGTACAGGTTCGGCTTAGTTACAATTTTATTATACTTATGTATAAATGTGAAGGTACCTTTAACTATAAAAGATGACGTCACATTCATCTTTTTTTAACAATAATATGTCTTGATTTTTTTAAATTTAGTACTGAGTGTATAAGGCACATTGTAATGAAAAAGTGGAATTAAGATTGTGAAATTGGATAAACTTGGCATATCGCGTTTCTGTATAAAGAAAAGTGTTTAAAAGCTTTTAAAATATAACCATTTTACGATAACATGATTAATTACATTAGAAAGAGCGTCAAATTAAAGCACGCGGGTGAGTTAGCCGGGGCCGGACTCTAATATAATTACCTAAATATTCATATTAATTATTGTTTACTTTTGAGTACTTTCATGTCAACATAAAAGTTATTTTAATAATAAACTGTTAATGAAATGCGTGTCACTGAATACACTGTGGTAATGTATTTTTATATTTTCAGATGGGCCACGTGACCTATCGGGTAACTAGTCGAGTTGTGAGCCAAGCCCTATAAATACGACGAAACCAATTGTTTGATAAAATTTAAAAATCATTTTCAATTAAATTAATAATGCAAATATGACTTTAAGTTAATAACAATTACTAAAACTCTTATTAAGTAATTAAAAGAAAATTTTCTTTATTATATAGATATTTCTTTATTATATATTTTCTTTATATATAAATACAAAATAAAATTATAATATATTGCGAATAATATAATAATAATAATGATTAACACATGAATAAACATATTTATATTTAATATTTTCAAGTGTTTGTCATAATACTGTTCACTTAAAAAAAACCAATAAAATCAATAACATGTAATAATGAATCGATAAAACTGATATTTTGTGCAAGAAGTGATTGGTTACACAATTTTATGGCGCTAAGCTCAAACTAAAATATAATAAGATCAACCTAATAGCGTTTGCTTTACCACCAGCTAATTTTATTAGTCTGCACTGAGAAGGCAGACTCTACGGAAATTAATTTTGCTTCGTATAACCTATCTAGCTGAGGAAGCTTAAAAAATCTTTAACAGTTTTAAATTTTAATATGGTTATTTTAACATTGCCAAGTGTGAGTCGGGTTCACTTTAGAGCTTCCGTTTCCGTATTAAAAACTAATCGTTTTAACATGATGCCATATTTATTTTCACTACTATTCTATTAAATCTAGAAAGTCGCTAACATACTTCTAATTATCATATAGATTTAAAACTTTATATGTGCAATCTGAATAAAATAACAATTGAATATCTTAAAACTGATCCGATAATGGGGTAGAAGGTAAGTAGATAAGGGGAAATCTTTAACGGCTTCTAATAAAACCTTCGAGTTTAAGTTCATTTAATTTGTTTTTACGTGTTATAAAATTTTATTCCTGTAAAGTATGAGAGTATAATAATATAGGATACTAGCGACTCATCCTCGCTTCACTCGGGTTCGTCCCTACTTACGGTTTAATGTTTAGTATCGATTTCTCAGATATGTGATATTTTCTCGCAGTAAAAAGTATCCTATAGGTTGACCCGGATAACCAGCTATCATCATACGTCATCAAGATCCCTCCAGTCGTTTTTTCCGTAATGCGGTAACAGACAAACAGACGGACAAAATTCTAAAAATAATAGATTCTGTATCGATAATAATGTCTATTCCAATAAGATTTTTCAAAAAATATTGAATGTACAGATTGGGCTTAGTTACAAACTTTATTATATGTATAGATAGATATATTATTTCGTTTATATTAAAAAACACATTACGTTTTCATTAGGGTTTTATCCAACATAATCAACTTTTTACCCTTAAGTCTATATTATAATATTTAAAAAAATGTGTATAATATGAAAATCTTTTAATTTCGTCTTGGCTGTTGTAGTCGGTGCAACGTTCATACGCGATCGATATTATTGCATTATTAAAATACTCTCGTAAAGAAAGTTGCTTTGGTCACGTAAAGACAAAGCAGACCACATTTCTGGAAATCCTTAAATAATAATAGATTTTTTTATTATTTACTTAACAATATCTCCTATTTTCTGCTAGATATAAATTATACTCATCGTCATCTCGCTGCCCATTTCCCAAGTTACTTGGGGTCGGCGCAGTAAGTCTTTCTCTTCCACTCTCCCCTATTATTCATCATAACCTCATTCACCCCTTTCTCTTTCATGTCCTGTCTTATATAATCTATCCTCGGTCTTCCTCCTACCTCTCCATCTACATTCACTTCCATCATGCTTCTTGTCACACGCGATTCATCCCTTTTTTTACATGTGCATATCAATTTAGACGCCTCCTTTCAACTATAAATATAAATCATACTATTATTATATAAATATACAAGGCAGAGAATTGTTGACGATCCAATAATCACAAGCGATATAGACCCTCTAAGTCTAAGAAGAGATTTTGCGTCCCTATGTGAGCTCTATCGTCTGTACAATGGGTTGTGTTTCGAAGAATTGTTCGAAATGATGCCCACGGCCACTTTCTATCATCGCACCGCTCGCCATCGACAGCGAGTTCATGCTCACACATTACAGCCCAAATGGTCCCGTACAGTTCGGTTTCAGAGGAATTTCCTCCCACGGACCATTTCGCTGTGGAATGAACTCCCTGCCGAGGTTTTCCCGGAGGGCTACAGTATGGGGTCCTTCAAAAGGGGAGTAAATAGGTTTTTAAAGGGTCGGCAACACGCATGTGATGCCCCTGGTATTGCAGGCGTCCATAGGCTGCGGTAACCGCTTACCATCAGGCGGGCCGCATGCCTGATTGCCACCGACGTGGTATAAAAAAAAGGCAGTGGTCAGATTGGTGACACACCCATAATAACGACCCTTACAGTGAAAGAATGAGAGTCTATAAAAAGCTTTGGATCTCTGATCGAAATTTAAATTACCTATGTTATTATTTCAGGGTGCTACTAGTTGTCTAGCTACCTTTCTAGATGCCTAAAAAAGAGATTGTCGAGCATTTTCAAAAAAATAAAATAAAAAATAATCTATAACTTTAATACTTTTCGTTTGAACAATAAATATTTACTTAAATTAAACTCACAAGATAACGCATGCACTTGATTTTTACTATCCAGCAAAAGACATAAACGTCGTTAACGTTAAGAGCCGACCGCAATAAAGGCAAAATAAAAAGTTGAGCGTCAAACAAAAGGTTTGCAATCTCAAGACCTCTCATCTTGAAGGTAATTGTTTTATCTAGCTGATTTTATTCCTTTGAATTGTTTAGTAAAGCTTACCTACATCAACCTTTGTCCTATTAAGTCAATTGTATACATATGTAAGTTGTTCTTTTCATTTCCGGTGGCGTCGTCGGCGTGCGAATTTCTATCTAGGGCTTACATGTTGTTCTGCAATCGTTAATCAATAATAATCTAAAAAATCCATATTTTTTATCACTATTCTATATAATTCCCAAGGAATGATATAGAATGATTCTATAATATAATGATTAAAGTCATTAGTCAAATAAAATTAAAATATAAGTTATTCAAAATAAACTTTTACAAGCTTTTTTGAATCGTCACATCTTACATTATTAAAATTTAAAGTAAATGTTAGTAAGTCCGCGAGGAATCTACCACCGGCTCAGAAGGCAGTTCTGCTAAAAAGAGCCGGCTATTACAATACAATTTTTTTAATTTCTTTTCTTCAGCAATTGTAGAATAACATCTCATTTAAGTCATTAGTTCTACTTGATTTATCGTCAATAACATACCTTAAAATCTATACAGATCATCTATTATAATTAAGACTCTTACTTATGCGATAAAACCATATTAAAATATCCTCATCAGTTTTCGATTTATGCGTGATTTAAATAGGAACTAAAAATTCTAATGTCCCAACATATTTCTTTTTTAACTTTATATAGTTTGAAATAGCAAAGGAAGAATGCCGTCATGGTTTCATCTCTACCGAATTTTTAAAATTTAATACTTGCTTAAATATAATAAAAATTAGTTTTTAATTGAGTATTATATATAGATATTTAGCAAATTTTAAGCAGTGTCCCAAAGCAAGGTATGTCGAATAATCTTCTTTTTTATCGAATCTGCACTTTATTTTACTTGTAAGATATTATATTTTTACGATCGAACCTAAAGTATTGTAGGCCGTGAGTCATCATCCGGTTAAGTACCACGTTATATCATATATGTATTTTATTGTATATTTTTACACTTAATTCCACACTAAGTAAAAGAGAATGCTTACATTAAACTGAAGTAAAAACATGATTCTGTACTTACTGTCCATTTTGGCATTAGTTTTAGAGGTCGCTAGTTAGTTATAGAAAAATATATAAAAGGTTCCTTACATGCATACATATACAAAATTGTATTATACATACATATATAATATTTAAATAGAATATTTCTATAAGAGATAACTAAAAAAGGGGTTTTTGAAATTCAATCCCTAAAGAGTTCAAGAGGCATAGGTAAGTACTATTTTAATCTAAATGAATAAAATGTCTTAAAAATTACTAATCCTGTTTAAACGTATTTTTTTCAAAATGTGTAATTTATTCCAATTTAAAACATAGGATAGTTTTTATCTCGATTGTTACCTTTTTTCATTGCAAAATTAACGATTTTCATATGTGTGCCACAGCAACGTGTGGCCGGGTCTGTTAGTACCTAATATTTATACATATAATAAAATTGTAACTAAGCCGAATCTGTCCATTACATATTTTTTGGAAAATCTTATTGTAATAATCATTATTATCGATACAGAGGCCGAATCTATAGATTTTAGAATTTTCGTCTGTCTGTTACCGCATCACGAGGAAACTACTGGACAGATTTTGATGAAATTTAGTATGGTGATAGCTGGTTATTCGGGTCAACAGCTAGGATGCTTTTTACTGCGCGAAAATATTTCATCTTTAAGAAATCTTACAATACATACAATAATACAAAACGTTAAAACGTAAGTATGGACGATCCCGAGCGAAGCGAGGGTGAGTCGCTAGTATAAAATATAATATTAATATTACTGACTCCTAACCGATTACGGTTGCAGCGGCTAATCTCACTGAGACTATCTGATTACGCGGGATATATTATAGTGCACATTGCACAAGTGTATACGCTAACAATTTCAATTTCTATACTATTTAACTCTCTTATTTTGGTGGGAAATTTCGACACGACCGGCGAAAGAGTGCATCTTAAGCAGGATAGCTTAACCTAAACAAATAAATTAATATGTTGGGACATAAACACACAACGCTATCGAGTTGCATGGTAAGCTACGAGACTTGTGTTATGGATACCAGACAGTTGATACACTACAAATATATAACTTTAAATATATAAATATTATACATATAAACACCCATGACTGGAGTACAAACATTCGTGCTCATCACATAAATGTATTAAACAGCGGGACTCGAACACGCGACCTGGCAAAGCAAGGGGGGTCACTAGAAACTGAGCCAAACGTGTCGTCAAGGTAGGAGATTGTAAACACTGATCATGATAAATCTTGAACTGCAGCCGTATATGGCAGCCAATGAGGAAGTTTTTTTTTTTTTCTCTCTTTATTTAAAGGAGCTTTATCACTCAGTGATTATGTCGCCCCCGTAATAAAAATTACATATTTTATGAACACATTCTTAATTACAATTCACACTATAAACCTATTCATGACGTTGTATGGCAAATAGCAATGTACAAAGCATCCTTGCTTACTCCGATAAGGGGCAAGCCAAGATACTATTGCACAGACCTACTTGATAATTTTTAGTAAAAATATGTCGACGTTCATCCGAGTTCCGTTCACATTCCATCAAAACATGTTGTATATCATCCATGGTTCCACATATTTCACAATTTGGAGATTCCGATAAACCCATTAGATATGTAAATTTGTTTGAAGGAATATGACCCGATCTCAACCTCAATAAAGCGACCACATATCTTCTTCTTATATTGTCAAACCACGGGTGACGAAGAGGCTCACTCTGCAACGTTCTATACCAAATACCTTTTGTAAGTGACCGCTCGTCAAAATATTCATGCCATGTTTGTCTGCATAATAACTTCACGTTTACCAGAAAGTCTGAAGGTAAAGGTAAACAGGTATAAGGTGTACCATCATAAGCTGCTTGACGAGCGGCGCAGTCAGCCTCCTCGTTTCCCATAATCCCTATATGCGAAGGTATCCACTGAATAACAACATTTTTATTCGTTTCACGTAATCTACAAATTTTGTCTATTATAATCATGGCTAACGGGATGCCTTGACAATTCGAGGGTATCTGAGCCAAATGTTGGAGGCTGCTTTTTGAGTCTGTAAAAATAACAAAATTTCCTGCTTCTATATTAGTTAAATATGAAAGTGCCTCAGCAATAGCTATAAGTTCACAATTCATAATAGAAATATTAACATTGATTTTAAATTTTTTTGAAATATTTTCCTGAGGATCATAGAAAGCAGCCCCCATGCATGTTTTATCTCTAGACCCATCTGTATACAATTTATAGTGTGAACAGTATTATTCATAAATTCCAAACATAACACTCTAAGTTCCATGACATTAGTTAGTCTTTTAGCAGTTAGTATTCCAGGGACTTCATTATATAGTACATTTGATAAATCAATATTATTAGGCCACGTACTTAAACTAAACACATGGGGAATATCATTTGAATACATGTCTACTTGTCTATACGTTCTGTGTACATTTACTAACAATGGATTGTTTTTATTTCTCCAGTAACCTCCTTGGCATAGGTCGGACAGTTCTTCTAAAATAGTGATAGTTACATTGTTACTTATAGTTTTAGATCTTAAATAAAATTTCTCCGCAAGAAATCGTCTTCGAATTGGTAGAGGTTGGATACACAGCTCACTCTCCATTACATGGATTGGTGTGCTTTTAATAAACCCTCCGACCACTCTCATTGCTTGATTTTGTACTCGATCTAACTTAATTAACTGATTCTTGGCACTTGAGTGATATAAAAAACTCCCATAATCAATCCTACTACGAATGATGCTTATATATAGTCTACGGAGATGTTTAGGATGAACCCCCCAACTAGATCCTGCTAGAATTTTAAAAAGGTTAAAATATTTATTGGCTTTATCCCGGATTTCGCTAATATGCTTAGTCCATTTAAGTGAACAATCTAACCACATGCCAAGGTATTTTATACAATTAACTTGTTCAATCAACTTATCATTTATATTCAAATAGACGTTTCTCCTAGTTTTACCCCTGCCGAATACACATACCTTTGTTTTCTTATCTGAGATGGTTAAACCGAGTTCACTAATTATTGCCTGAAAAGAGTTAAGAGCATTTTGTAGAAGCGTAACAGAATCCATTAATCTTTTTTGAGTAGAATATATAATAAAGTCATCCGCGTATTGAGAAATAAATACTTCTTTGATATTTTTACAAATTTTAATAGTTACGGCATTAAATAAAAGAGGGGATAATGGATCACCTTGGGCTATGCCTATTCCTGTAGACCTGCTGTAGGTTTTATCATCACTTGTTTGTATGGACAAATGCCTCTTGTGTAAATACTGCCAAAGGTAATTACACAACACAGATCCAATACCGAGGTCATCTAAAGTCGTTACCAATACTGAAAGATCTACATTATTGTATGCATTATTAATATCTATAAAGCAAGCAGTTGTTGTAAAACTTTTAGAAAAACCTATCTGAATCCTAGAAACCAATCTGGCCAAACCGTCATAACAAGACCTAAATCTTCTAAAGCCAAATGTGTTTTGCGAGAAGCAATTGTATTTTTCAAAAAACCATTCAAGTCTACGTGTTATAATTGTATGAAAAATTTTACAGAGGCAGGAAATTAATGCAATTGGCCTAAAATTTGTGTTCGAATTATTGTTCGAATCTGATTTAGGAATGGGTACAATTCTTATGTTCCTCCATTGTTCTGGAACAAACCCAGAGGTTAAAAATTGATTATACAAGGAAGTCAATACTTTTATACCAACATGTGGAAGGTGTCTGATCATAGAATACGATATATTATCTAAGCCCGGTGCAGTGTCTTTACTTTTAATAGAATTGAAAACTTCTTGTACCGAAATTAGGCCGCATAATTGTGTATTGACAGAGCTAAAACTAGGTGTAGGTGGACTTACATAATCTGGTGTCAAATTCATTAGCAATACTTTAGCTTTTTCATAATCTATATTACATCTAACTATCCTATGACCTTTAACCCACTTCATTTGTGCCCACATATCAACTGCATTTGTTACATTGTCGACTTTACTACAAAATTCTTGAAACGATTTGCAACTACTCCGCCGTATATATCTCTGAGCTATACTTATTTTATTCTGCAACTTATCGAGATTTTGCGGTGTTGGGTTTCGTCTAAACATAGCCAAAGCAAGCCGTCTCTGTGCGACTGTATGTGATAAGTTTGGTTCCCAGTACGACTTTGGTTTAAATTTTTGTTGATGAAGAGGATTTTCACAAACTTTAATAATTGGTATGTATTTATCTGCTGCCATATTAACAAGGCCTATAAATTTGTTATACGCTGTTTGCGGATCTGAAGGAAGAGTAAAGTTCACAAGATCTGATTCAATTTTATTCATATATGACGGCCAGTTTGCCTTTTTGTAATTTCTTCTCTTAGTATACTTTCTTGGGCATTCAATTTCAGTACTTACTTTAATTAACATATGATCACTGCCTAAATTTTCGTTTATAACTTCCCATTTGAATTTAAAAGCCAAATCTGTACTAACACTAGTCAAATCAGGAGAAGTTTTTTGAATTACACCATTGACTAATTTAATTCGTGTATCTGTTCCATCATTTATCGTGATAAAATTATTTTCTAATATGGAATCAAAAATCTGATTTCCTCTCGTATCTTCTTTGGATGACCAATTAGGATGATGCCCATTAAAATCTCCGGCTATTATCGTTTTGTGATTGAATAAAGAAAAAAAATAATCCCAATCATTTTTTGATGTGCGCACTGATGATGGGCAGTATATGGAAATTATGTTTTCTATCTCAGCACAATTTAGCAGTCTTACATGTACAGCTTGTATTTCGGTATTTGTAGAAGTCAGATTACATAAAGTTGCCTTTATGGACTTATGAGTTAATATAGCAGTTCCTCCATAACCATCAATGCGATCTGCTCTAAAAATACTATAGCCATTAATTCTAAAAGCATGTTCTGGAACTAACCATGTTTCACTGAGAATAGCTATATAAACCTTATGCTGACTTAATAAAAGTTCAAATTCTCTTTTTTTCGGTAATAAACTTCGACAGTTCCACTGAATTATGTTGATTTTTATGTACTCGTGTCTGTTATCCATTGTCTAAATTTAGAGAAGAGTGCCAGTTGAGATAAATAGTTCATTGCAAAATATGTGATTGACTCAAAAAATATTTTAACACAAGTTTTAATTTTTTCTTCTAGGGTTAGCCTACTATCACAGATTTTTTCTTGCATTTGTCTTAAGATTTTCATCCAACTAATTTTATTCTTGTCTTGTCTAGCGTTTTCTTCCTCTATTTTTTGAGAATTTTCAGATTCGCTCTCTGAGAAAAAATCAAAACTCTCGCCTTGTACTGCTTTATCTTTATCGGTTGCCTTTTTACTATTTATAGGTTTCTTCGACTGTGAGCGTTCCTTTTTTTTTGGCTTCTTTAGTATTTCTGCATATGTCGTCTCCCTTTCTATAGCACAACTGTCTGTTTCTTTATTTATATGTCCACTCGAAATTTCTTCCTCTTTGTCTCCTTCCTTAGAGCATTCTGTATTATTACACAAATATATAGATTCTGGAGGTACATAAATAGTCTGTGCTCGTTTGTATGAGCAGTTAAATTCTGCCATCAACTCTCTTATCCTCTTCTCTTTCTTATACATAGGGCAAGTTCGAGCTAATGCCATGTGTTTTCCTTGACAATTATTACACTTAAATACTATAGTATCACAATTGCTAACCTCTGCTTTAGAAAAGGTATTTTTCCTAGTCCTCTAAAGCAGGCTATTATTACGCCTGTTCATAAAGGTGGGGACAGAGACGACATAACAAATTATAGACCTATTTCAGTATTACCCTCAATATCCAAAATAATAGAAAAACTTATTAATATTAGGCTTTTAACATACCTTAAAGATTATAATATCATCTCAAAATCACAATATGGATTTCGTCAGGGCATTTCCACCGAGCACGCAGTAACTGCACTAACTAAAATTGTAACAGAACAATTAGACAACGGTAAACCGTGTCTAACTGTATTCCTTGATCTAAAAAAAGCTTTTGATACTGTCTCTGTCCAAATTCTTGTAAAAAAGCTTGAACATATTGGGATACGTGGAATTCCACTACAGCTCTTAAATGACTACCTCTCAAATAGGAAGCAGAAAGTTAGGGTTACTCATTACACAAGTGAATATACAGACGTATCATATGGTGTTCCGCAAGGCAGTGTCCTGGGACCTACTCTGTTTGTCATCTATGTAAACCAGCTCTGTAATATACAACTAACAAATACTAAGGTATTCTCATATGCTGATGATACAGCTCTAGTCTTTACGGGTAATTCTTGGCACGAGGTACGGCTTAATGCCGAAATAGGGTTGGCTAAAGTAGCCAGGTGGTTGTCTAAGAACCTACTCACACTGAACATTTCTAAAACAAATTATATATGCTTTAGCATATGTAAACGTAAACAACCTAGAGAAGATTTCAATATAAAAATACATCTGTGTAATAATGATAAAGGCACTACCTGCAGTTGCTTAAATATAACGAGGGTTCCATGTGCTAAGTATTTGGGTGTTTTCATTGACCAGAGATTATCTTGGCATTCTCAAATCGATCATGTGGCAAACAGAGTCAGAAAATTGAGCTGGATGTTTCGGTCCCTAAGACACATAGTCCCTAAACAAGTTTTTAGCAGCTCATCTCGCCCCAGGAATCTCTTGAATGAAATATATTTTGCCTTAGTACAATCAGTGCTATCATATTGTATCCCGATTTGGGGCGGAGCTGCTAAAACGAAGTTTATTGAACTTGAGAGAGCACAACGTGCTCTAATAAAATGTATGTACTTTAAAAAACTTACATTTCCAACTGAGAATCTGTACCAAGTTAGCAAACTGCTCTCAGTTAGAAAGCTGTATATTACTCAAACTATACTAAAAGTACATAAGGCTGTTTTCTATGATGCGTCTTTAACATTAAAAAGAAGGAAAGAAAATATAATTAAAATCCCACAAACAAGAACAACATTTGCGTCAATGCAATTCGATAAAAGATCTGCACAATTATATAATAAAATTAACAGTATAATTTATGTTTACCCCTACAATTACCATAAATGCAAAAAGACATTAATAGATTGGATAAAAACCCTTAGTTACAATGATACGGAAAAACTGTTAGAACATATTCATTAAATGCTCACACACGCACACACACACACACACACACACACACACACACACACACACACACACGCGCGCGCACGCACATACACACACGCACACTCACACACAATACACAAACAAATATATGTACGCTAATTTTTAATTTTTATTTTTATTTTTTATTTTTTTGTTTGTCTTAATTGATCTATTTAAGTTTGTAGTATCACCCATAATATTATAATCAGCTAAAAGATAAAATTACTTTTTTATGAAAGGGCGGGGTCTCCTAATACAGGCAAATTATTTGCTTAAAAGGGGATCTCAACCACAAAATTTGAAATTTTGATTAGATTTGAAATAAATAAATAAATAAATTTTAAATTAATCAATTAATTATATGTAAATTTTTATTTCAAATGTAAATGTATATTGTTATCTAATTTATAGTTTTTATTGTTGTTGTGTTATAATAAATAAATTATTATTATTATTATTATTATTATTATTATTATTATAATTAGCATGATGACCGGTACATTTAGGGCATATAATTTTGTTCGATGGACATACTCTGACAGAATGACCGTATCTCCAGCATCGAGCACATTGTGTCACAGGATACAAGTAAGGAGTTACAGAGCATATTGTATCAAAAACATATACCTTTGAAGGCAATGAAGAACCCTTAAAACAAATTCTCACAACCTCTGACGGTTCCCATTGGCCATTAACACTGTTTCGTCGTTTTAATCTTTTAACTGCTATTATATCCATTTCACATCTTAAACTTTCCAATATTTCTTCTTCCGTTGAATCTAAATCAATATTTTTTATAACTCCAAACGTTTCTTTGATATCTAAAGTCTTTTGGCATTTAAATCCATTTTCTTGGAAATACTTTGACTCCATTAACTTGTCTGCACTGTCTTCGTTACTAAAACGTATTATAACCTTATATGCACTAATAAATTTAACTTTCGTAATATCTTGTATATTTTCTGCTTTTAATATTTTCGCTAATTTAAACTGTTTAGGTATTTTCTCCGATGATTTACTCGTAATATTTACTTCTATATTATCTTTCGTAATCCTAGTAGACTCAATGTCCCGGTGCTCCCGAGCCATCCGTTTACCTCGTCTAGTGACGTTCGTCCATATTTCCTCCTCGTCTACAGGCCTATCTCTCTTAGACGGCCTTGATATATCACTGTACATGTCATTCTCCATATTCCCATACATAATCTCAACACTTTCACTATTACTCGTCTGCTCACTATTTCTCATTCTCTCATAGTACTCGTACTCACAACTCGCAGATGTCTCCTCGGCTATTATTTCGTTAACGCGTTCATTGCTATCCATTGAATAATAACATTTTAATGTGAAATTGCAACGGAAAGATTACGCGAGGCAACGTCAAACCGGTTTAAGATCGAACAACAAGCGCGTACTGCAACAGCGAGCGACAGATCGCGACTGAATGAGGAAGTTAAAATATAATATTCACAAATTATTTTTTTATGTAGGTATATGGTATACTTACATAGAACCAAAGATAAACAATAAACCGGTACTACCTTTAAATCACTTTTTTTTATGTCGGGAAATACATTTACGCATACCACCTGATCCCCCAGGTGGTGATGTGGGGCTCACCGGCTAGAAGAGCCGGTACTACCCACTAAAACCCGACATTCCCCTCCCCTCCGCCTTAATGGGACGCCGCAGGATCGCTTGCGCATAACTACTACGGCGCCCCGGCGGCAGGTCTGCCATTGGCTGACCACCACACCGATGGGGCTGCTCCACAGGCAACTCTGCTACACCAGAGAGGTACCCGGAGCAGCCCCATTAATCCGAACCTCCGCCCACCGAAGTGGGCCACCTCCAATCGGCTGCAGAGGACAGGGAGAGCGGCAATGAAACACCGACACTCCTCTTCCCCTGCAGCCCCACCGCGTTTTTAATTTATATGGAACTATTCTTGAAATATAACCTATCCATATAAAAAGGATTATTAAAATCGATTTAAAATAATTGGTAAAAGTATATATTCTAATATCCTACTAATATTGTAAATGCGAAAGTTTGAGAATTTATGGATATCTAGATGTTTGTTACTTTTCACGCCAAAACTACTGAATGAATTTTAATGAAACTTTACAATAATATAGCTCACACATCAGAATAACACATAGGCTACTTTTTATCCAAAAATATTTCGGATAAAATGTACGCTTCCCGTGGGATAGATTTGTTTTGGCTTTTGTAGAGGCGAACCCGAGCGAAACGAGGGTGAGCCACTAGTAATACATTATATATAAAAAAAAACTCATTTGTGAAGTTGATCAAAAATAAACTTGAGGCCTACCGCCTTTCTGTCTTTTGTAAGATTGTTCAATTATTTCATGAAAAATATAAATTCCTATAATATTGATTTCCTTCGATTATTAATAAAAGTATATTAGTAATAAAAGCAAATAGAATTACATACTCTTATAAGAAAACTTAATTAAGGCAGTTACCGCAAACAAGTATAAGCGATTAACTACAACATTCAATTATATGGAACCGACTTAATATTTGCGCGCGCTATCAAAAATACTAAGTCGCCATAGTATAGTTATTAAAAAATACGTATTTAAAACATTCGTATGTTTATATTATATACAATTTTGTTATTATGGCCTTTATATAATGTACAGACAGCGCCATCTTTTGGTAAATTACATAACTAACAGTAGCATTGTAATACTCCAGGTCATAGTCTATCTGTTTACAAAATTTCATTACAATCCGTCCAGCCGTGTTAACGTGAAGGAGTACTTTCGCGTTCAATTATGTTAGTGTCGTCCCCAGATTAGTATGGAATAGTTTTTTTTTTCAAATTTTATGTTTCGTGAATTTTTCCGATGTTTTAATAGTTATGCTGCTATATCGGAGTGAAGACATACATAACCAACAAAACAAATATCATAAAAATCGGTCCAGCAGTTTTCGAGTTATAAGTTTAAGATTTATTTATTTGTATATACATATATTTTTTTAGATTAGCCCTTACATAATGTAAGATCATAAATATTCATAGAACACCAAATACGTGACAAACAATAAGCCAAAATTATCAGCCAGTAACTATTATAGAGGAAATAAGCCTATCAACGTTGCGTGCAAATTGTATTTTTCAATTTGTGAACGGTATTGGCAGTATTCGGTCCCTAGAGCTGAGTCGAGCGGTCACGACCGGCATACGAAAACGACCCAATTAAAACTTGTGTGAGCGGTCCGTCACTTCGACATTTGATTCCAGTCGTTTCTATTTTACGTTTGATTAACAACAATTCATTTAAAACCACGGTAGGAAACAAAATGGTATATCGAAAAAGAGATTTCGATGGTGATAGTATTTTTCTGTAAAGCTAATAGATTTTGCTGACTAAAACGTAAAATTTCATTGATTGAATGAATATTATAAATATATAATATATGTTTACATTTACATTCATATAATTATATTATATACCTATTACATATATATATATATATGCATATACTTATATATGCACATTGTTCATTCGAGGTTTAAATATTTGTATCTATATTGTCAGACCGATATTTTAAATATCTATGTGTTTATTATGATTAGTATTAAATTAAAGTTTCAAACCGTCTGCGCTAGCCAGAAAATACCTCGTATTTATTTTAAAGAAATATAGTGGAAGCTACAGATCTATGCTACTATTATAAAGAGGTAAAGTTTGAAATTTGGTAAGAAGTTAGTTTGAGACCCTGGGAAGGACATATAAAGGGGTGAAAATGGGGATGAAAGTTTGTATGGGTAATCAACCTAGGGACGAACCCGAACGAAGCGAGTACTAAGCAGCGCCTAGTATTAAATAAAATAGATAAGTACCTATTATAATCTATATTAATACAGCATACTTAACTGAAATGTACAAATATAATTCAATTGAAGATTGAACATATTTACCAATACAATAAAATATAGATATATTTATATACTACGCCGCCCCGTAGACAGAGTTAATTGGCGTACGAGACAAATCGTGCAATTCGATACAGATGTTTTTCTTGTTCTTGTCAAATTATAACGCGTTTTGTACTTTGGCATTAACAAAGTATGCTCTCTAAATATTATAAATTTTCTAAATTAATCAAAACAAATAAATAAGAAGTAAGAAATTATATTTTTTAGTTGAAATGAGCTTTCGCATAGAATAAACTTAATATTTAAATAATATTGTATTAGTTGCCAGTGGCTTTCATTGCATTAGTTATTTTATTAAGCCTACAGTCATATAACCCTTTATATGTAACGGGATAAATTTATATAAAATTTGATAAGTTTTAATTAAAGCTATTACTTGTGTAATAAAAAAAGTTTTTTTTTCTTTTTTGCGTAAGTGATTAATGTTTAAAAAGACAAACAATGAATAATAAAAACCATTGATTTGATATTTCTGACCAAATATGGGATGACACATCTCTCAAACTGAAATGAAGTCCACCAACTCGCACTTGGCCAGCGTGGTGGACTATGGCCTGATCCCCCTCGTATTGAGGGGAGGCCTGTCCCAGCAGTGGGACATTAAAAAGAGCTAAATACATCTCCCAAACAAGTATTCTAAGACGTATTCCATGTACACCAAAACAACTCTGACCCCGTTTTAGTTTTATTATACGTACATACATACCTACGTATGTATTGGAGGTGAGTAGATTCCCTATTGGCAAGTCGCAGAACAAATTTCGACCAATAACCTCTATAGTCTGTGTATAATGATTATAAAAGCTTAGATCAAAGTATCCACAGGCAATAAAGTAATTAGAACTTTTAATATATAATGTTCTCCTGACCGATTGCGCAGAAGATATTATAGTGCACAAGTGTACGCGCAGACACAGGTGCACTCTCTATTCCCGTCACACTCATACTTCGGTGAGAGTTAAGGCGCAGGACCGACGTCTTTATGTGCTCTCTGAGGCACGGGGGTGAAACACCGCCAACTTCTCAACTCGGGGCTGTTACTGAGGATTACTACACAGAAAGACTCAATAACTAAACTTGGCCCGACCTGGGACTCGAACCCAGGACCTCCGGGTGTGCAGCCGTACATGCTAGCCACTACACCACCGAGGCAGTTAACTTACTTATTATTATTACTTATTTGTATAATACATATATCAAACCAAAGGCATCTTTTCCATCGAAAGTTAAAAATGATAAGATTAGAAAAGAGCTTTTGATAAATTATGGGAGTTCGAAAGATTTATCAAAGCTTAGTATAGATCAAAGAAAACAAAGTTTAGCGACAGGCAATCATAAAGAAGATAGCAATGTTTGTAATTAAGGAGAAAATTTTATGGAGTTTTACTTTCTGCACTACATGCTAATTTTAGTTGGTGACTTTTTATAACCCTATATTTACATTAATATTAGAGAAGAAGTTTGTTTTAATCTCTAGAATTACCAGACAGATTTTGAAAATATTTTTGCATTATATAGCCTTTTGATTGAGAAAAGTCCTAAGTTATGAATCTGGGGATAGGATATACACAAATAAGCTATGCAATCGAGGCCGCGTTTTATATATCCATACAATCCTTCGACTAAGAGACGGTCTTTTAAACTATGAAGCCGTTGACGTTGAAGTAGCTACTTTTGTTTGTTTTTTTTTTCGGAACAATAGTTGATAGATAGAAAATATTAAAACGCTTTCGAATAGCCCATACCTTTGATTAGTTGGAAATTTGGTAGACATAGGGATTTAGCTGATAACGAGCATGGTATTCGAAACACCTGCAAATTTTATTTTTAAGGTCGTGTATAAGAAAAAACGATTTTTCTTAAATGTTTTTAGTGTTTATGGCGATGAATATTGATTTAAGAGAAAATTATTTCTAGAATAGTTGCAGGCCCCAAAAAGGTTGAATTTTTTGTTCAATACGTTTTTCGTGTAGAGCCAGTTTGGGAGAAAAATGCACTTTATTTGACACTTCCAATTCTTTTGATACTGTCCGAAAGATTTAATTTTTGAGTCGAAACTGTCACCAAATTCAAAATAACATAGCACTTATGTTATTAAACTCCACTAATACTTTGCTTATATTTTAATCTGCATAAGTAAATTATATCGAAATTAATGTCGTTTTAACAAAATGTTTATACAAATTTTGGACAATTTTAGCATTTTTTTCCCAAACCGATTGTACAAAATATTATTGGACAAAAGTCATTAATCTTTTTATGACTTACAACTTGTGGGATATATTTTTCTCTAACATCAATATTTATCGCAATAAACACGAAAAACATTAATTTTTTCTTAGAACCTTGAAAAGCGGGTATTTTGAATAACATATTCGCTATCAGCGCGTCAAAATCCAATTATGTCTGCCAAAATTCAGATTAAACGGAGGTATGGCTGTTCGGAAGTACAGCCGAAAATATCTCATATTCAAGATATATGTACATTGTACATACCATATATGCCAAACCATAAGTAAATCTCGACAAGATGATATAGATGGTGCTACGATAGGGTTAATTATTCTATCCTGCAAGATGTATATAATCATAAAAATGGAATAAAAAAGAACGAAAAGAAAACTAGACCCTTTACCAACAATAAAATCACTATTTAATAATTTCTAAGGTAGTGAAGCTACAATTTGTAACAGCAAATATTTCAAAGGCTACATACACACTACCAATAAATATTAAAGTACTAGTCAGTAGTGTATTATGGATAAGGAATTTGTACAGTAAATAGGAAGACATGTTCCATGCTCGGTAAACGATTTCCTTGAATTCTTATATATTTTTATTATGTATTTGACTGGTAACTAACCCCTGCTTCGCTCGGGCGCGTCCCTATGTAAGTTTTAATTTTTTGAGCGTAACCCTAACTTTTTTTCTAAAATAAATGTAGCCTAAGTTACTCCTTATAACATCAGCTATCTGCCAGTGAAAGTCCCTTTAAAAACAGTCTAGCCATTTCGGAGATTAGCCGGAATAAACAGACAGAAAAACAAAAAATAAAATAAAATTGTGTTTCTCTTATAAGTACCGTATATAATTTCATATGCATTTAGTAAAAAGCTGTTATTTTGACATTACAAATGACACTTCAATTTTATTTATCTGTATAGATTTGAATTGTTATAATAAATAGTGCTGATAGGATAAATTATCTTAATCATTTGTACCTACCTACGTGGACAGTATACACAATTTTTTATTATAAATGTGTCTGTAGTATGTAAACTACTATTCAAAAGTAGATTTCGAAGTGGACCTATTATATAAAACTGTAGGGAATTTCAAAGTTAATTTGAATATCCTTGTTTACGTGTAGCGTTGGAAGTCAACCGCTATTATAATCGGTTTTCGATAAACTCAGGAAATAACAATTTGTAGTTCGTTCCATTCGTATAGCATTGGTCTTTGTTATTTCGTGTGGTGTTCTCTTAGTCAATATTGTCACTAGTACTCTATACATGAGACATAGGATGAGTAATACTCGAAAATGGGCTTATTTATATACATAAAGTTGTTTCTCTTGACTGATTCAACAAAACCCATGCTAAAACAGTGGAATTAAAATGGAATTTTGACAATTTATTCGTATGACGACGTATATAACTAAGAATGTTTTTTTGAAATTTACTGCCTATTTAAAGAGTGCCACTATTCTGATGGGTGTTAAATAAGATAAAAAAACCGACGAAGCTTGAAAAGTCTGCTTGTGATGTTTATAATAGGTACACGTAATAATTTTTGTTAAATCATTTTGAGTTAGTTATTTTTAGTAAATATTCATAATACCAAAATAACGTAAAATATCATTCCATGCCAATAATTTAATATAGTGGATATTTACAATATGACAAAGCCAAATGGGCAATTTCAATAAAATATCCATTATTTGTTGAGTAAATGTGACTATAACACTATTAATCTATAAATGAAGGTGTTTTGTTAAAGTGTTGTATGTTAATCTATCATTTCGCCACCAGTGGTCCCAAACAATTGGGTCAGTCGGATCGTTAATAAATAAGCTAAATCGTTTACCCGCAGTTTGATGCTTGCCCAAATGCATTGTAAAATTTGTCAACCGTTCACTAAACCGCGCTTATAATGGCTTTGTTAACAAATCATTACGATTCGGAATGCTTCATTTTAGCAAAATCACAATTAGAATTTAGATCTATTTTATGTAGCTACCTACATATGTACTAAATATACTAAATTGTATTTTTTAAATATAAATATATCAAAACTTATTTCATTGTTCGTCTCAGATCATTTTTCCTTATAAAGATTCATGGTATCCTTTTCTTTTATTATAAATACAGTAAACGTAAGTAGTATATGTATTAAATATTATAAACTAGCGATTCACTCTCGCTTTTTTCAATATTTTTTTTCGTGAGCTTTTCCGATGTTTTAATTTCGGGGTGAAGACAAATCCAACAAAACAAATATCATAAAAATCGGTCCAGCAGTTCTCCAGTTATAAGTGTTGTAACAAACCCGACTTTTATATACATAATATGTACTAGTGACTCACTCTCGATACGTTTTAATGCAATAGTTTTTTCATTTTTTTTTCGTGAATTTTTCAGATGTTTAAATATTAATCTGCTATTCGGTATGAAGACAAATCCAACAAAGCCAGTTTTTCTAAGTTCTTTTTTATATTTATAAAAAAAATTATTCAAACCTTATTAACGTCAATTACGTAACGTAATTAAATGTTGGATACGGACCTCCCTTGAATGGAAGAATGCGAGGGGGATCAGGCCATATACTACGGCAAATTGAGGTTGGCGGGTTTCACGCGTTTTTCGATAATTGCTTTTTAACTAAAATGTCGATATTACTTCACTTAAAAGTTATTATTTCGCGCTTAAAGTGGGTTTTTCAAATTGATATAGAACCACTCTTGGAGCATATGAATTAGTGAAGACATCGTTTATCGTGTATCACGCACAAAAAATAAAACCCAATAAGTATCCCTTTTTTTGAAATCGGTCCAAAGCTAGTTTTTCCCTGAAATATGACCGTCCTCGTCATATTAAATTACTATCACCTAATAATCATGGAAGAGGTGCAAGAACCGAATCTCAAACCCGCACCTTTTAATTCCCTAAGCGAGCGTGTTGCCATTGCTCTACTAGTATTTTTTTTAATTTCTTATTAGCCCAATGTTACTATGGATACGGTTAAGAAAACATATTTCTTTGTTTAATTCACTAATGTAATACAAAATAATCGAACTTGCGATTACGTTCTCATAAATAAGAGTACCTAATGTTGCTGCCCCATAGAGGTCTTCATGACAGAGCTATGAACCAGTCAAGGAAATTATAGAATAAAATTATTTTTAATTGAACAGAGATTTAAGCGCTCAACCAAAATGTTACGCATGAGAAATGCTGAATTATTCCTGTATCGCATTCGAAATTAAACAGCACATTTAAAAGTCCAATAAAATTACTCTCAATATGATTTGCCTTCACGACGGCTGTGGAATACATTTTATATGAACGCTTTTGTTTGGTGATACGCCTTGTGCCTTTGTGTACTGTATTTTTTATCATCATTGCAAATAATGCAGCATAGGGCAATAAGACGTGCTAGACACTTAGTTAATTGGGTAATTAACAATAAGTCTCTTAAGTTTTAATTTTTTTTTCATTTTAATGTCTAAATTTTTTCTACTTGCTTTTATACGAGTATCTATAGAATATTTGGCAATATGTGAAACTATCAATTGTAAGTAATTTTCAGTATTGATATATACTAATTAATATTTGTTTTTCACATACTATCAATTGTATAAAATTTTGTTGTGTGCGAGTATTTTTATTCAGTTTACATATTATTACATACTATATATCTCTAGCTTTATATAGGAGAGAGAGAGCATGAAACTTAAGATGAGCTTTAAGCTGACTTAGGCATATCAAATGAAAGTTATAATATTATTAATTGTTTTTGATTAAAGAAACGAGCAAACAAACTTTACTTAAATAACACTCTGAATCCGACATAATTTTGTCATACAATGTTACTTATTCAGCAGAATGTTAGTTGTAACGTTAAAAAATCTTCTTAAATGTCTCGATGATTAACACTTTGGTTAATACATCCATTTAGCTCTTAAAACCATCAAGCCACTTGATCCTTTACTTCACTAAGCCATTAATATTAAAATTCACCTTTAGAATGTTCACTTGAAAGTTGGTTAAATACTCCATTAAGCATACAAAGTAACTTATCCTAAGGTACCGAAGTATTATTATGCGAACACTTAGAACAAAAGTTACATTACGATTAGTATGTAAATTAAAGGTCTATTCTCTATATCGATCAGCCCTTACGGGATATGAAATGTGGGGCTAATGTTACGACTAAAAACCTATTACTATAATCTATATGTTTTGTTACAGAAAATGCTAAACCATTCCATAAAATGAAATTGCTGGCAATCGCGTGATAAAAAGGGTTTTAGAAATTTGCATATTTGAATTGTTGATTTGAGAGTTTATCTCTAAAGCTTGACTCCAAATTTCATTGATGGTGAATTTTATTCTTGACGTCCATTTTCACATTTAAGCAATAAAGTTTTAACATTGTTCTCATTTCAGTAAATATTTATTAATATTTTTGTGCTATTGAACGATTTGTGAACAATACATTATTGAAAAAATGATGAACTGTTATTATTGCTGTTGAAATAAAAGTGCCAAAGATGACTATATATTTAAGAGTGGTGAAGTGTGAAGTGCCAAGTGTACAATGTTGAACGGGGCAGAAAAGGGAGGGTTGTCCCTCCAATCCTCCCCTGTTAAAGTGTCACCTTCGCCTGTGAGGGCATCATCGAGTCCGGTGAGAGCTCCATCTTCGCCTTTAAAATCATCGATGTCCCCTGCAGGGAAGCAAAGGTCACCAAGGCGGTGTCAATTCGCAGCGCCTGCGGAAGATGCAAGAGATAAATGTGGGACATCCTGGCTGTGTAGGCGAGGAGCGGGGGCAGAAACTGGGGAAGAGTCTGGGTCTGAATCACCAGGTCCTAGCGCCCCAATACCCCAAGCCTGTGAAGAGTCAGCTCCACCCCCCAAAAATTGCTTCAGATTGGTTATGTTAGGGTAAGTCGTATGGACTTAATTGTTTTCATTTATTTGTTAGTAAGAATTTAGACTGAATCTTAATATGATAATTAATTTTAGTTTTTAGATTTGAATTGTAAAAACTCTTATCTGTTATGGAATATACAAGGGTTCTCAATATCTTAATCCCACTACGTACCATGGATGCGAAAGTTTGTATATTTGTGTATGTTTATAACTCTATAAAGCTGAAACGACTGCACGGATTTGGATGAAATTTTGTACACAAATAGACTCAAGACCGAAGCAAGTAAGGGTTAATCGCTAGTATACTATATAACCTAACTAACGACTTACTTAGTATAAATGACATTACAGCGATTCCACTAGCCCTAAAGCAATTTATAAACGCCTTCCCTAAATCTGATTTAATTCAACGTCAATATATTTGCCATTCCCTTTCAACGATTATCAATATATACGAATAGGAATCCCATTTTAGATTCTCTAAGGCATATGAAAACCAGTTCTTCATACGTCTCGAGTATTGGGTCTGTAATAGATCTAAAGCAGTAATAAATCACGGCTGACAATCCGCAACGAACCAAATTGCAAATTCCGCGTTGAAGCGTTCATTCTGATTACCATCTCTGTAGCCGAATACATCACTGATACCCGTACTAAGTATCTCGACACTTTTTATTTTAGGTATTGATTTTAGGATACAAGTGTTTTATTACAAGCTTTTATATTAGGATATGCATCCACAGTTATGCTTTTCCACAAATGAATATCCCATTAAGTATTAAATCATTTTTTTTCCTCTGAACTAACTTTATGAAAATATATTACTCTGATGTATGGTTACACTATAATATTGCAAAATTTAACCAAAACGTGTTCAATACTTTTTGGGTGAAAGGCTAACTAGTATTCATTGATACAGCCATATTTATACATCTTCACTTGAATACTTACCTGATTTTGATTGGGATTATCTCTAAAGCCCTGTTCGATGTTTTATTGGTTAAGGAGATGATGGATTTGGTCTGCTTTACGTCGTCGTGCTTACGGTCGTGCTTTACTGAACGCTACGATTTAGTGTTATTAGACATCGATCTAGATGTAAATATTTAATATCAATATTTTAACTATCCATGCTTTTTCGATAAAATACTCTTTGTGGGTTTATATTTTCAAAGTATCTCGATGTTTTTCCCGAAACTATTAAGAAAAATAAGCAGATACGGCAACAGCGATTTTCTAAACGTATAAAATGGAATCCAACGATATCGATGCCCGTTTTCAATTATTTGTAGCTATTTCTTTTATATTATATAGTTTACTCTATATGTTATTTTATATTTTTGAGTAAAGGTCACACTAATATTGTGGATGTGATACTTATGCGATGTGCTTGAATAAAAGTATGAAGAAGAAATATGTGTAGGTATATTGTGTACACACTTAGTGTGTTTACTCAGTGTATATTTCTTCTTTATAGTTCATACTGTACCTGCTCAACTGATTCAAGAATAAAATTCTGAATAGACGGTACTTTTTATTTTATTCGTACCTGCGAGAGGAGGAGTGGACAAAATTTGTTTAAAATAAAGTAATTTTACTTTTTGGAGTAACGCATACTCGATCCTTGGAAAAAGTTGGTGAAGCAACACAAAAACCTTATCCTAGTAAGCCTACGGCGCAAGTGTTTATGACAGATCAGCGCTGATATCAAAATTGTATTCGAGGAGGTCAAGTTGAAAGTAGTGAAATGCTTCTCCCTAAAGCATCTGTATAGTAATATATAACCAGTGACTTGTTCTCGCTTTTCTTAAATGCGTCCCTAAGTACTCGTAATAGCAGTTTTTTACGAAAACACTGATGTATGGGCATATAAATTTTCCTCTTTTTCTTGACACCTTTCATAAAATCTCCCGGACCGACTTCGGTCACGATGGTCTACTTCAATACACGACCACTCTGATACAGGCGGTGTAATGTAGCCAACTTCCCAACTCCTGGTTACTATTGAGGATTTCTTGATAGAAAAAGCCAATAACTGTACTTGACCCAGACCAGACTCTAAACGTAGGAAACTAGGAGGTCAAACATTCGAAAATTAGGTCATTAATTTTGGCCATGTCGAAGTATCGTAGTAGCTAGTAGACTTTTATTAAAAATATGGTAATAAGGCCCCTTAAAATGCAGTAGTCAAATATATCCAGTGATTGGATTATTATTATCGTGCCAAGTCCACACGCTTGCAATTCGCCACAAATTTCAAATCTCTTCAAAAACACAAACGTGTTGATACGTCACAATCACTTGCTGCATGATTTGTGCACAAAAACTTACATGATCGGAACGGTCACAAGTCCTAGCAAACCTACTCAAGCAAAACACCCTCTCGTCATGTTTGAAATTGTTATGGCTTGTCGAGGCTTATCAAGCGTGTGGATCTGGCATTTAAGTGTCTGCTTTATTGACATTTTACGGACTTTAAAAAGAAGGAGGTAGGTGCATGGATAATTAAAGTGAAGGAGGGTTTAAAATAGAATTATCAGTAAAAAAGAAATTAAACATGTTAATTATAAAAATTATAACATGATGTATTATGTTACATATAAAACACTTTTTCTTCACTATTATTAAATTCATTAAGTATTCGAGTACGAAAAATTTACATCGAAACTAGTGGGAAATGGTTCATTACGTAAATGTTAGTGGCGAGTAGACTCGGCTATAGTTCACACACCTTTGATCACTGGAGCGGGAAATTGATGGATTACAGATTTTCTGCTCTAACATTAGTATTGCACTCCTATGTAGAATGATTTCCCTTACATCAGTTCTCACAAATGTTCCTCTAAAAATTTGAGTTGCTCTTTCAAATTATTTGACGTTATTGGAAAAAAATCTTGTTTAATTAAGGGCGCCGATCTGAAATGGGATAAGGAATTTGAATACTCTTTGAATTTGAAAAGTAAAATAATTGGATTGGACCTAAAGGGTTTCTTAAATTTTCTTTTAAGCCTTCTAAAATTTTTATCTTCGTGTACCTTTTTTTAAAATACTTAATTAACGCAGATATTTAATTACCATCGTTATATAAGGAATGGGAAAAATAAATTATCGTTTTATACAATAGTTAGGATATCTATATACTATTCTTTATTGCACTTAGAAATCTATAGAGTAATTTAAATACAATTTTTGTTTGCAAACTCTATATCAAATATCTATTACCCAGTTAAGTATTTAATTTTAATATATAATAAGATATTATGTTCGTGGGTGTAAACGATGTACTAAATTTATAATTCAAAAGGCGTGAGTGTTAAAATAATAACGGTTAGTTGTACGAGTATGTCTCCTGCCGCTTTTCATCTACTATAATATTTATATGGCTTAGGCGATATCCGGGGCAGTTTGCAGCTGGGAAAAAATTCACATACCGTACGTGAATCAGGGCAAATGTGTAAAGGACGTAAAATAACATGACATATGTATATATTATATACACCTGTATTTTTCAATGATCGATGGGACCGCTTTCTTATTATTGTTAGAATTTATTATATGATACTAAATAAAGAAAGAAAAGATAGCAATCAGTTAAAGCTAAGTTTTTTTAATAAAGAATCATTTTTATATAGATATTATTTGTATGTATAATTTTATATAGATATTATTTATATACATAGTAATAAGGATTTTTACATACATATATCCGTTAAAAAAGGTTAAATTATGAAACTTTTAATAATCCCGGTCGAAAGGACCCTTAACAATTGATTGCTATAATCTTTTTCACGATCGCACGACATTGATTAATTATAACTGGTATTACCGAACTTTGGCATTATATTCAGACTCGTTCGTCCGAAATATTTACACGAATTAGGAGCCATCATAAAACTTGAAGCATTAACGTTTCATTTCAGGCAAAGTTTCTTAAAGCTCCTATAACAGCATAGTGGCTTAAATATTTAATATTCTTGGATAAAAATAAGGATGGCATGAAAAATTTTACATTTTTCGCCTAACTTGCTAACTGTGGGATTTCTGGCTGACGATTACGAAGCGGCACTCACGCACGTTTCTATACGCGCAGTATATTTGTAAAGTAAAGTCTAAAGTTATATTAATTTCTGTTATGAAATAATAAAATCGTATTTTTGACTTATAATATCACATAATATTGAACGTTCGTAAAATAAAGTTTCAATCTAATTGATCTAATGAAACCTTTTCTATTTTTTTAATAGTTAAAATACCTTATAATAATTAAAGCCGTAGGTAGATACGTTGTTTCCACTTGAAAAAAAAGATTGATATAAAAATACGTTATTTTCATATTTTATATTATTAATTAGTCGGTATTAGATAGATTTCAATGATTGACTAGCCTACTAACAAGCTTTTCACGATTAGTTTAATTACTGCATAATTTAAAATCGAAAATTATGATTAATTTATACAAGAACGAGGCCAAATTAAAAAGAGCGCATACTCAAATATATCAATTAAATATAACAACATCATGTTCTAATATTTTAGTGACTTCTTTTTAGATCAGATGGATAGATACATTTTTTATAAATTATAAAGATAATAAAGTTTATTAATTAGTAAAATATTTGATATTATATATTTTATTGTATGCGAAAAGTAACGACTAGATTTAAATATAATCTGGTATAAACATTTACTTTTAAGGAAATAATGGTGGCCTATAGGGATTGAAAAAGATATTTATTAAAAAAACATAGGATGTCAGAAATTGTAACTAGAAGAAAGAAATTATATGAAACTAGCATTGCTCGCGGCCCCGCCCGCGTTCAGATGACCAAAAACCAAATTCTTAGGTTTTACATATTAGTACACTCTTACATTGCAGTTTTTGTATTTTTTCTCAGAAATGAGACATTTTCCTACGGTTAAAGTATCCTATATGTTGATCCGGATAACCAGCTATCACCATACCAAATTTCATCAAAATCCCTCCGGTGGTTTTTCCGTGATGCGGTAACAGA